AAATGAAGATTCATCGAGAGGTTATATTTTCTGTATTTATACCTCCATTCAATATATCCACCCAGATTTAAATCATTTAGTAAATCTTCGACTCTCTTTTCCATTTTGGTCTTTCGATTTATAACACAACACTATTATGACATACGAAAATTGACAGTTTCGAAAAACAAAAGCGCAAATGTCAAACAGGAAAAAAATGTAATCGATATCATGTATTTACTTTTCCTTTTTTCAAATATACTAAATTTAAACAGGAAAATCGTAATTGAAGAGGAAAATGCAAAAGTACTCCTTTTGTCATTGTTCCATAAAGAATAAAAATATTCTACAGTCAAATGGAATATTCGTATTTTAAGAGGAAATATTCAGAGGATTTTAGAAGAGGAATTTTCCTCTAAATTTAAGATTACTTTTTTTTGGGTGTAGAGAATGCAGATAATTTTCAAAGTTTAATATTTTATGAATGAATTTTTTCGTCTAAAATTCATTGAATATAATTACTATATGTGATAATTCTTTAAAAAGTTAATTTCTTCATGCGTTGCCATAATATTTTTGTAATCCAATTTCCTGAATTCTCCATTTTTCCATGTAAATAATAACTTTTTCCCTGACATACAGATTTCTTATTAGAAGAAAAAAAAACATTTAAGACTCTACAAACATTTTAAACACTATAATCTAAATACTCTAATCTGAATTTAATTCTGAAAATTACATTAGAATAATATAGTAAAATAATCTGTTAAGGGGTTTCCTAAATTTTTTTGCCCTAAAATAGAAGGTTTTTAAAAGATCGTGTACTCATAAGTTTTAAAATATAATTGATCAAAAGTTTTTACATGTTACTATATACGTCAAGAACTATTTAAAAAAAAATTGCGATCTTAAAAAATATTATTATGCTCCTTCTACAGAGGTCGCTATGTACACTGGTCAAAATCAAAGTCCTTTACGGTAACCACTGTAGCTCATCGCAGAATCATCTAAAATAAAAAAATCAAACGTGATTTTAAAGTTTAAGACCTAATACAGGTCCTAAACCTCGAGATATTAAAAAAAATCAAAAATTAAAAAAATGGCAAGCTTTGAAACCTAAAAAACTGAAAAAACACAATTTTTTTGACAATCAATCACTCACAAAAACCTGATTATTGAATATTTTAAATATATTAGAGGTTTAGGACCTGCAAAAACTTCCACTAAATCGAATGCAACTTGAATTTTTGAAATCGGTCAAACGGTTTTTGAGTTCTACTGGTTACCATTTTTAAATATAGTGTTTTGAGAAAAAAGCGTTTAAAGTTTTGATATCAAAAGGTTATAATTAGTCAAGCAGAAGTAACTAAATCAGCTTGAAAATTCTTACTCAGGGGTTTTTGGGGTCGCTGATTACGAATATGATGTCAGATTTTAAAAATTCAAAATGGCGGATCCAATATGGCGGACATGAAAGTTAAAAATCAATTGCATTTACTCGAAACTTGGTACTCGGGGGTTTTTGGGGTCGCTGATTACGAATATGATGTCAGAATTTAAAAATTCAAAATGGCGGATCCAATATGGCGGACGAAAAATTTTAAAACTAATCGGATTTGCTCGAAAATGATGAAATGATATGAATATGATGAATTGTCCGTACTGGGTCCATGACCATGTCGGGTTTATTTTGAATTTTTAAAATATGACATCAGATTTGTAATCATCGACCTCAAAAACCCCCAAGTAGTAAATTTCAAGCAAATCCAAGCATTTTTTAAAAACTCGTCCGCCATATTGGATCCGCCATTTTGAAATTTGAAAAATGGACACCGGATTCGTAATCAGTGACCCCATAAACCCCCGAGTAGGACATTTCGAGCCAATCTAAACACTTTTTAAAAAACTTGTCAGCCATATTGGATCCGCCATTTTGAATTTTTAAAATCTGACATTAAATTCGTAATCAGAGACCCCAATAACCCCCCGAGTAACGAATTTCAAGCAAATCCATTCTCTCGGTTTATCGTGGACACGAAAGGGTTAATTATACGATCTGTAGACGCATATATATATATGTATTTTGTTAAATAACTGAAGATTATGAGCGAATTACGATCTAATGATTTAACCACACATTCTTAACATACTTTCCTATCAAAAAATAAAGAAAAAAAAATTCGATTTTTTTGACCAAAAAAATTTAGGAAACCCCTTAATGAGAATAATGTAATCTTAAGTTAAATTATTTTTAAAAATCGTATTTAATTAAAAATATAATAAATATGTCAACGCACGTTTTCCATTATTTTTCAAATATTTTTAAATTTACCCTGCTGGAAGTAAAGAGATAGGAATCTTATCACTTTTTATCTCCTTTTATATCTGAGATAGAAAGTGATAGAAAAATTGTAAAACTTTTAATCTCCGGTTTATATACTTCTATCGCTTTCTATTTCCTTTCTATTTATTGAGATTTCTTTCGCTTTTAATCACCTGTTTTAGATAACTTTTAATCTTCGTTCTATAACCTTCTATCTCTTTCTATCTCCTTTCTTATTATGCACATTTCTTTCGCTTTTAATCGACGTTTTTCTATAACTATTAATCTCCGTTCTATAACCTTCTATCTCTTTCTATCTCCTTTCTTATTATCCACATTTCTTTCGCTTTTAATCGACGTTTTTCTATAACTATTAATCTCCGTTCTATAACCTTCTATCTCTTTCTATCTCCTTTCTTATTATCCACATTTCTTTCGCTTTTAATCGACGTTTTTCTATAACTATTAATCTCCGTTCTATAACCTTCTATCTCTTTCTATCTCCTTTCTTATTATCCACATTTCTTTCGCTTTTAATCGACGTTTTTCTATAACTATTAATCTCCGTTCTATAACCTTCTATCTCTTTCTATCTCCTTTCTTATTATCCACATTTCTTTCGCTTTTAATCGACGTTTTTCTATAACTATTAATCTCCGTTCTATAACCTTCTATCTCTTTCTATCTCCTTTCTTATTATCCACATTTCTTTCGCTTTTAATCGACGTTTTTCTATAACTATTAATCTCCGTTCTATAACCTTCTATCTCTTTCTATCTCCTTTCTTATTATCCACATTTCTTTCGCTTTTAATCGACGTTTTTCTATAACTATTAATCTCCGTTCTATAACCTTCTATCTCTTTCTATCTCCTTTCTTATTATCCACATTTCTTTCGCTTTTAATCGACGTTTTTCTATAACTATTAATCTCCGTTCTATAACCTTCTATCTCTTTCTATCTCCTTTCTTATTATCCACATTTCTTTCGCTTTTAATCGACGTTTTTCTATAACTATTAATCTCCGTTCTATAACCTTCTATCGCTTTCTATTTCCTTTCTATTTATTGAGATTTCTTTTGCTTTTAATCACCTGTTTTAGATAACTTTTAATCTTCGTTCTATAACCTTCTATCTCTTTCTATCTCGTTTCTTATTATCCAAATTTCTTTAGCTTTTAATCACCGTTTTTCTATAACTTTAAATCTTCGTTCTATAACCTTCTATCTTTTACTATATCATCTCTAATTATCCACATTTGTTTTGATTTTAATCGCCGTTTTTCTATACCTACACAGCACAAAATATTTCCTTAATATTTCCTGAATATTTCATTGAAAAGCTTAAAGTATTTCAATAAAAGGTTCATGAAATGTTGATGAAAACAAGAAAATGTCCGCTATTGAGTTCTATAACCTTCTATCACTTTCTATCTATAGCATAAAATTTTTAAAAATTGTTATAATAAAATAGAAAAAGATAAGAATTAATCTATCAAATATTTTAAATGTGTTCTTGAAATATTTTGTAATATTACTGTAATATTACCATGAAACAGACATTTTAATATTCCGTGCTACTTCGGCTGTTTTCTATAACATTTAAACTCCGTTCTATAACCTTCAATCTCTTTCTATCTCCTTTCTTATTATCCACATTTCTTTCGCTTTTAATCGACGTTTTTCTATAAATTTTAACCTCCGTTCTATAACTTTCTATCTCTTTCTATCTCCTTTCTTTTTATTGATATTTCTTTCGCTTTTAATCCCCTGTTTTCTATAACTTTTAAACTCCGTTCTATAACCTTCTATCTCTTTCTATCTCCTTTCAAATTATCCTAATTTATTTTGCTTTTAATCACCTTCTATCTCTTTTTATATTCTCTATTTCCCCAAGTAGCACGGAATATTGCTTGAATGTCAAGGTGATATCAAGCGAGAATATTCTTGTGACATTCAGGCGATATCATAATGTCCGCTTCATGGGGACATTCCACGGTGATATTCCTATGACATTCGCGTGATATTCGTAATATACCGAGGGAATATTTCCGTGAAATTCATGTGATATTGAGCGGAATATTCCTGTGATATTGAGGGAATATTCCTCTGATATTGAGGGAATATCCCTGTGATATTGAGAGAATATTTCTGTTATTTATAAAATTTTAAATTGTTTGTTTTGATTGTTTTTGAATATATAAATAAAAAAATGAGTAAATGGGAAAAAAATAGAAATTTTTTAAAAAATTTTTTAAATTATCTCATTAATATCATTGGAATATTTTCTCAATATCACAGAAATATTCCGCACAACATCACAGGGATATCTCCTCAGTATTACATGAATTTCACGGGAATATTCCTTCGGTATCATGCGATTATCACGCGAATATCACAGGAATATCACCGTGGAATGTCCCCATGAAGCGGACATTATGATATCGCCTGAATGTCACATGAATATTCCCACTTGATATCACCGTGACATTTAGTCAATATTCCGTGCTACTTGGGTCTTGTTTCCCTATATTTTCAATTTCTGATGTTTACCCTTTTCATCTCTTTATTATAATTAAAACAATGTTTTTATTTTATGATAATCTCTAGAAAATAAATGAGACGTTATTTTCAAGAATTAATATATTTAAGTATATTAAATATTTACAATTTTTAGTTTGTTTGAAATAATAGTCGAGTATAAAAGTTCTGAACATAATTAGTAATTATTAAACTAGTTACAATATTATATTAAACGGTATTATAATTGTACTCTCAATTAAAAGGCCGTATCGCAAAGTCATGTACATAAAATCCTTCTGTTCTGTATAAATGTATTTTACAATATTTCGGTTTCTAGCTTATTATAGTTATTACTGTATTTCTATTGTATTTGGCAATTTTGAAACATAAAAAGTATTATCCACTTTCATATACATTAATTTTTCCTGAATTAATTCTAATGGGACTTTTACGACTAATGTAGTTCGTTGAATTCTTTTTATATGAGAAACTGGTATCGCATTGTCAGAAATTTCGCTAAACAAATTTAATAATATAAAGGTATTGCCATTTATAAGCTGAAACTCTGTAATTTCGCCAATTTCATTAGACATTAAAACGACAAATGTGTCATTTGTTTTAGTGGTTCTGTTGTACTTTGTACTATGGAACATTGTAGACTTGTATATGCAACGTTTAAACAGTTTTTCATTTTTTTCATTTTCTCCCAAAGTGTCCAGAAGTACTATTTCATTACTTTGTTTGACAGCATTTTTACATTTAGAATGAGAGAAAATATTTCCACAAAAATTAAGACACTTTTCAGACGTTGCAAGTTTTTTGAGAGTATAATCAAAACTAAGTTTTAATAATGTTCGTTTTGCTATCTGATCAAAAACCCCTTTAGGTCCTGTAACTGCTTGTTTAAGGTAGAAAATTGCACCTTCGAAAGGAAAGGTTGATGTAGTCCATAAAGGTCCTGTTCTACGTACAGATTCAACTAAATGTAGTAGGCTATGAATGTTAAAGGTCATAACGCTGTTGCCAAACATCTCCTGCAATTTAGCAACGAAAATGAGCAATTTTTCTTCACATATTCTTAATTCTTCTTCAGATATAGAATCCTTTAGTAGAATAAAGATACTTTCTACGAGTAACGCATAGTGATTTAAAACTTCCGCTGGAATTAGATCTTTCAAACATATAACAGAGTAAAATAACAAAAAGGATCGCCATTCCGAAGCTTTCCATTTAGCTTTCTCATTTATTGGTCTTGGTTGACGATGAATTTCTTGAGGAGGAGTCATTTGCAAAAGTTTTTCATTTAACTTCCTAAGGTTCCCTGTCGTTATAATATTTGCTTCAATCCAAATATTAAATATATATTTCACTACGCCTAGAAGTACTGCATGTAAATAATCGACAGGAAATCCCCATACTATATCGAATGTTAATAAGGAAAGCAGGACAGAAGTACCTTTTATTCCACGTATTGTTGGTTTTTTGAATTTCTCTACATCTTTGCAGTCTTTTTTATGGCTTTTAACAGTTCTCAACTTAGCATCGTTCTCTTTTACAGGATAACGTATCGCTCTACTATCATAAACACCTTTTTCATAACACCAACTACATCCATAATACGCATTGTATTGCAATCTGTTTTGTAAAATAGGTCTAGCAACTGAATCAACTGAAGAATATAGAGGAAGAACTTTTAATGTTAATGACATTCCATTTTCATCTGTTATTTGAATCCCCTTTTCAGCTAAAAGTTCCATTTGATTTACGAAAAGTTGCATGTAAGAATTCATAAATTTCCATGTCGGCTCTTTTTTATTTATGCTCAAGCCAGCAAGAATAGGATATTTGAACCGAAGTTTGGGTGGCAATTCTTGAACGGTAACTTGCAGTGGCCAAAATGATTTTTTGGCACTATTACACAAAGGAGCACCGTCTGTATTAAAATTCAATGTTATGAAATCGTTTTCAGGATATTTTCTTTGTAATTTTTTATACAATAATCCGTCATAGACATCATTTATTTTACCAGAATCATTTTTACGTAACATTATATCGCGAATGTTCTTTAGTAACCCAGTTTTTATTTCTTCATCTTTAAAAAGAACTTCAAGTTGATATTTTAAATCTACAGCAATCACGTAATTTGATGATTCTGTTGTCAAGTTATAATCTAACCCACACGTACACTTAATATTACAATTTTTAAATTTTTTTTTTGAAATTGGTGGCATTAATGTCTTAAAACATTTTTCACATATAAAACATAACGTAATTACTTCATCAGGTGGATCGTATAACTGATTCATTACGAATTTACTGGTGTTCCAATTTTGAAATTCATCACCAGCAAATTGTTTACACATTTCAAACAATGCATCTCGGGCTTCATACGTACAATGAAATCGTATACTATAAGCCATTATCATTAATGATACATCACGAGTAGTTAATTGAGCTTTAGGAAACATTATGGCGTGACTCATTTTTTTATACTGCATTGTAGCAGATTCAGTCTCTATTACGCATTCATCACTTTCATAACCATCTTCACAATCTTCATAATCGCTCCAATCATTATCGCTGGTATCACTTGAAGAACTGGAAACGAACCCTTGTTGCTTTTGCAAAGTATTTTTAAATGCATACTTTCGTATCTCACATTCTTGTTCTAACGAAGTAGTCATTTCAAAGGGCACATCTGAAGCCATCTGGAAATCCAATGAACAGTTGTTACAATCTTTATAATCGTTCCAATCATTATCACTGGTATCACTTGAAGAACTGAGAACAAACCGTTGGCGCTCTTGCATAGTGTTAGAAGTCATCTCATATTCCAATGAACAATTGTTAATAGAATTCGCTGAGGGACTCATATTCACATTTAACTCATCTACGTAAGATTTCGAAGAAGCTGTAATTTCTCTTTCTGATACATTCATCTGATTATCAAGCGTTGATGTTTCTAAATCTGAAAGCAAAAATGTGTAATAATAATAATAAATGTGTAATACTTTGTAATACAGTAATATTTTGGTAGTAGTATGTAATACTTGTAAAAAGTGTAATACTAAGGTAATAATGGTAATATGTGTAGTTGTAGTCAAGTGTACAAGAATTTTTACTAGTAAATTCCCCTCGGTATTTCTTTATATATTACTACTTTTTATATCCTTTGTTTTCTGGGATAGAATGTAATAGAAAATTGTATAACTTTCAATATTTAATTTATACTTTTCTATCTCTTTTTATCTGTGCTGTAATCTACAAGAAGTTTTCACTTTGAATCACCTTCTCTATATCTCTTTAAATCTCCGGTCTTTAACCTTGTATTTCCAATCACGACATAAACTAATTAATATTTATTCAATTTAGATACTTTACCCTACATTAGCTTATCATTTGTTATATCCAATTAATTTAATTGTAAATGAATTATAATAGCATAAATTAAATTACCGATTTTAATATTCTTCTGTAAATGAACATTCAATTTTTTTCCCCATCTCCAACGAGTTGTCGGATGTACATCTTTAGGGTCATAATCAGCATCGAGAACCCTCTTATTTCTTCTTTCACGATTCATTATAATGGATCTGATAGTTACAATTTTTTCAAGCTGACGACTGTCAAAAGTAACTGAAAAATTAGAAACCTTAACTTTAATTTCATGACAAAATTTACACAACAAATATAAATACTGCCAATAGGATTTATTTTGGTACGACAGAGATTATTATGGTACGAAGTAGATTTTCTTAAGTAGCACGTAATATTACAGTTACATTACTAAAATATTACACGCTTATATGAAATACTTAAAAATTTTTAATTTTTCTATGATAAAGTGAAAAAGAATTATAATTAATCAGTAAAATATTTGTAATGTTACTGTAATGTTACTGTAATGTTACTGTAATGTTACTGTAATGTTACTGTAATGTTACTGTAATGTTACTGTAATGTTACTGTAATTTATTAAAATTGACATTTGACATAAACGACATTTAAATAATGTCTAAAAGTATTACATTTACCTCAACATTTTTTTGAAAAAATTACTAAATAATAAATGTCAATTATGTCAAATGACATTTTTGTAGCATGTCTTATATGTAAAATGACATGTATGTTAGGGGCCGTCCATAAACCACGTAGCCCAATTTTTGGCTCTTTTTTACCCCCCCCCTCCCCCATGTAGACCAACGTAGACTTTCGCTATAACCCCCCCCCCTCCACTGGTGGAACGTAGTTTTTTTTTACTTATTTAAAAATGTATTTCCATTGAATAGATAACAATTTCCAATAAAGAGAATTCAATTTAAAAACACATAAGGAATTTTAAATTTAATTTTTTATACTAATAATAATAAATAATAATAAAATAATAATAAATAAATAATAATAATAAATAATTTATACTAATGATTTTTTCAATAAATTAAATTCTCTTAAATATGCTTTTACACACTTTTTAATACCTGAAGGGATTTAAATTTTATTTAACAAAAATTTCATCTGTAAGAATATTACACCTGTTTTTTAATAAGAAAAAATTACTTTTAATGAAAATTTTATGTTATATAATTTTCAAATTATATAGTAATTCGAATAATTAATTAATAATATTAACATTACATAACTTTTAATTTCTATTAAAAATTAATTCTAATAAAAATAAGTTTAACTGAAACATTCTTACCAGTTAAATGTTTGTTAAAATGAAATAATAATGTATTTACCATTTTGTTTTGGCAGCAAAATCGACAAAGTGAAATTCATTCTAATAATTATGATAAATAAAAATATAGCTAATTAAAAATTTCAATGAAGGAAAATTTAGTAAATTGTAGAATTCTTAATTAATAAAAATTTGTTTACAATATTGTTTGCATTAATTTCTTTTGATTAAGTAATATTTCTAAAAGCAGGTGATTTCGAAACACTAAAAATGCAATTTTATAATTTCCATGGCATATTATTCGTGAGACCCAATTATTTTTCTTATTTTCATCAAGTTTATAATAATCATTTTAAAATAATTTATACATATTTAATTTTACAAAAATTCTACTTTATATTCATATATCGCTCAATTCGACATTGGAATTACCCGCGCAATTTAAAAAATATCAAAATAAATGACTTAATAAATATAACTACGTAGTCATGGCTCGAACCCCTCCCCTCCCCCACGTAGTTTACCGTAGAATTTCACTGAACCCCCCCCCCTCCCCTTAAACTGGCTACGTGGTTTATGGATGGCCCCTTATATGTGTTTCGGTTAAATGACATTTTGGTCACATGTCAATTAGGCAATATTCATGTGCACCGAAAATTTCAAACTTTTGTCATTTTTCGAGAAAAAATCGCATAATAATTTGTCAAATTGCATTTGAAAACATGTTTTCTCTGCATTAAAATGCTTTTTTGAAAACTTAAAAATACTTGTCTGATTTCCAAGTAGCACGTAATATTACGTAATATTATTAATATTAATATTAAAAAGTCCACCTCATGGTAATATTACTGTAATATTACAGCAATATTAACCGGTAATATTACAGTAATATTACAAAAAATTTCAAAAAACGCTTAAAAATATTTGATTGATTAATTCTTATCTTTTTGTGTTTTATTATAAAAAACTTTGAAATTTTTATGTATTTCAAATAAACGTGTAATATTACTACAGTTACTGTAATATTACCATGAGGCGGACATTTTAATATTACTGTAATATTACGTGCTACTTGGGTTAATTCTTATCTTTCCTGCTTTATCGTAAAAAATAATTAAAATTTTAATATATTTCAAATAAGCGTGTAATATTACTGAAATATTACAGTAATATTGCTCTAATATTACTGTAATATTACTGTAATATTACTGTAATGTTTCTCTAATATTACCATAAGGCGGACATTATAATATAACTGTAATATTACGTGCTATTTTGGTAATATAATAACTTATGAATATTTGGTTTTAGAAGAATGTTTTTCTTTTGTGTAAAATTTGTAAAAAATGTTTGAAAATAAAAAAAATTTTAATGTTGTTCATTAAAAATATAAATCTCAACGTATGGTTCACAAGAAAAATTTATTTTTTAACATTTTTTTTCTAATTACAAAAAGGAAATTTTTCTGAAATTAACTGTTCTTAAGTTATTACCAATTTCCAAAAAGTATTGTTTTTTAACAAAAGACCATATCTTCGACGAGAATTATCGTACAATAATTTTTAAAAAATCATTTTAAATGTGAGACAACATGCTTTCAGATGCAATTTGCCAAACTGAAAATTATGCAATTTTTTCTCAAAAAATAACACGAGTTTCAATTGTAGAATGTAATAATATTAACTTACTTGTTAAGACGCTTCAATGAGATGTTTCTCTTTTAAGATGTCAACACATACTAAAATTTCCTTAAGAAAAACTGAACAAACTTTTTGTTTGAAAAAGTTTATTAGAAAAAAGGGACCGGAAAACTCATAAAACGAGCCGTTTTATGGCTTAAGCCAAACCAGATGTAACGAACCTTTCCGAAGGAGAAAATACGGATCTTTACTAACAATACAAATTGTCGTCCAAAGACCACATAAAACATTTATTTCGACATGGACAATTTTTTTAACCATGTTGCTTTAAAATATCCAGCCAAGCGAAAAGCGATTTTTTATTTATACTCTTTTCGATATGTATGTTCTTTACAGAAAATATTCGGCATATTTATAGAATATAAAATGCACCGAATAACAAATATTTTTGTTTTGAGAGGATACACATACAGAGTTAATCTAACTAAAAATGTAGTTACTTTAATTAAGTTCCAGTTAACTATTCAATGTTAGTTAAAATTCTTGGCTTATTAATATTTTTCAATATAAAATACGGCTTAAAAGGATATACTCTTAATATGAGAGGACAATCCTATACTTAAGATTAATCCACTTAATAAATTTGCAATTATCTAATTTGTATCCTTTAGATAAAATCTCTGAAATTAAATAGAATATTAGGTCTTTTCTATAATTTACAACTGTAAATTACTGTACACTCAAAAAAATAAGTAGTAGATTTGACTACTTTTTAACTACCCTATATAGTACAATAGGTCCTCAACTCAATTTTAAAAGTTGTATTAACTACTAAAAAGTAGTTAAAATAACTAAGAATGTAGTTGATATAATAAGATTTTGTAGTTAGTTTTAAATTCTAACTACATTTTTAAGTTAATTGTACTACTAATTTTTAACTACTTAAGAAATAGTGAAATTAACTACACAAACATTGTTAAACTAACTAAGAAAGTAATTGTTTTAACTTCTTTTCACTTAACTACCCAAAGATGGTTGAAGATTTCGGATAAATTTTTTTCAGTGTAATATTACGTGCTTAGGAATTGTTTAAATGTAAATACATTTTAATCAATTAAAGTTCTTGTACCAGAACTTGTACAAGGTCCTGGACAAGAAAATATACTTGTGCAAGAAAATGTACATGTTCTTGTACATATTTTTTTGTGCAGGTTTCATGTACATTTTCTTGTACCAGATGTGGAACATGTTCTTTTAAATTAAAAATTAAAAACTTTAAAGGCTGCGCAGTAGTTTTCTTAAGCCTTTACAGCTGCGCAAGAATGAATTAAATCTATTTTTATCAATTCTGTCCAAAACATATAATAAACCATCAACTTTAAAATGGGGGCGCATGAATATCACATAAAAATCATTAGCTAGAATTTTCGTCTGTATGAATTTCTTTCATTTTTCGAATTAGCATTTGAGTTACTTTCTTTATTAACGAAATTTTATTTAATTTTTAGGTACCGAATTTTTATTTGACATAATTTTAAGTACTCATAATTTTTATTTGAGTTTTTTTCATCCAAAATTCGCTGTTTTAAGAATTCTATTCGATAAATTAAAAATTCTGACATTAAACAATTCGAATAACGAAAATTCTGTTGAATGAGAATTCTGATAAAATAAAATTGGTTTAAATAATAATTCTTTTGAACAAAAGGTGGATAAAAAGAAATTTGTTAAAATAAAAATTATGTCAAATAAAAATTCGATACCTAAAATTATGTTAAATAAAATTTCGTTGACAAAGAAAGTAACTCAAATGATAATTCGAAAAATGAAAAAATTAGTCTAAATAAAAGAAATTCTGTCAAATGAACATTCTATCTAATGACTTTTATGGGACATTTATACGCACCTTAAAATGCATAATCTCAAAATTATTTCAATTTTCGGCAAACATTATGCAAAAATATTAATATCAGACAATGTGTATACCAAATTAGCACGTAATATTACAGTAATGTTTCCCGGTATTATTACTGTAATATTAAAATGTCCGCCTCATGGTAATATTACTGTAATATTACAGTAACATTACAGTATTTTTTATCATAAAAAAATTTGAAATTGTTATGTATTTGAAATAAGCGTGTAATATTACAGTTGTATTATTACAGTAATATTGCTGTATAATATTACAGTAATAGAGTTACAGTTACATGAGGCGGACACTTGGGTAACCTAACAATATTATTTGGATTATCAGAAGTGAAAAAACAGAAAAAAGTTGATTTTTTTCATCCATGTTTTTTCCAAACTTTGAAAATTGAAATCGTAAAGAGCAAAAGCAGAGAATATAAATTTTTTTAAATAGAGAGAGATGTCTGTTTTCTACGCGGGTAAAAAATGTAAAATACTGCAACTGCGCAGCCGTGAAAGAGTAGAAGGGGAACAACACTTCTCCGTGTGGAGGTATAGGACAGCAGAGGACACAAATCTCCCTTAGTTATATCTATATATCTATTTGTATGTATCTATTAAGAAATACAGCGCGGGAAACTTTCGTAAAAATTTAAACAACTTTTTTAAGTTTTCGTACCAGTTTTTCGTGTTGTTAAAAATTGTGTATGTGTTTTATTTAAACATGTTTGCGTGTGTCAAATATTCTCGACCTTGTGCAGGACACGAAGATTTAGAAGTGATAAGTGTAAGAGATGTGAAAAGCAAATTTGATCCTGAACGTGTAAACGTTGATAATAAAAAACTTTATTTTATTAAATGTGCTACGAAAGGAAAATGTCCTGCCTTTATTATCTTTGTAACAAGTAAGTGCTTTTATGTAGTCTATAGGGTCAATTGGGGTAATTGGGGAGAAAATCCCTATTTTTCACAAATTACGTAAGTTTCTTCCTTTAAAAGGTAATATTTGCGGGTTTATTTTTTTAAGTTTTTAGTTACATTTCCAGGATTAATTTTACGCAGCATAAAAAAATTTAAACAAGATTTTACCCATTTACCCCAAGATTTAGAAAATTTAAAAAAATTTGGGTAAATGGGGACAGCATAGTTTCTAAAGGAACGTTTAAGAAAAAAAATTTCCTTAAGTATATTACTGTATTAAGGGATAAAAAAACTTGAAAAAAATTTGTAGTAGATATATAATAGTTGAACTAATTGAATTTTTTTTGTATTTCAGTATTTTGTCTCGCATTTGAAAAAAACAGAATTAAAAATCGTATAAAAATTGTTTCTTATTCTTTATGACTTCCATAACAGAAATTCTCTTGAATTTTTGATTTTTTCAATTTGGTTAATAATAACAAGCTGTCCCCATTTACCCCAAAAATTTGAAAACTCAGGGTAAATGGGGACAGCTTGTAAATATTAACTAAATTGACAAAAATAAAAAATTCAAGTGAATTTCTGTTATGGGTGTCATATAAGGAATAAGAAAAAATTGTTGTATGATATTTTTAAGTCTATTTTCTTTTAAATGCGAGACAAAATACTTGCGGTATTACTCAGAACCTCATGAAGGTGATCTGAGGTTAAAATATTGACGTTGAACTTCATTTTAAAATTGTAAATTAAGCACCAACACCTCTTGTCCCTATCTCCCTGAAGTTGGCGTCGACGCTCATGAGTCGAAAATTATTTTTCATGGGTCAAAAAATATCAAATCATTTTTAAAAACGTTTTGGGGCCACATAATACCTTGAAAAGTATTTCTTAAGGTATTATTTGGACCGAAAATATATTTTTAAAAAAATAATTTGATATTTTTGATCCTGTAAAAATAATTTTCGACGCTGAGCGTCAACGCCAACTTCATGAAGGTTTGTTCATATTTACACCAACTATGATCCTAAATATTTATATTTATTCTATAGTTTTTTATTTTTTAAATAATGTTAATAACTTAACAACAATTGATTTCCAAAAAAAATTTGTAATGAGAAAAAATGTGTAGAAATAAAAAAAATTTAATATTCATATTTAAAGGTTTAAATTTTTAATAAATAATGTTAATAACTTAAAAACAGTTGGTTTTAGAAAAATAATTAAGAGAAAAATTCATAAAATCCCTTTCAGTATGTAAAATTAGAAAAAAAATGTTTAAAAATAAAGGAAAATGTTTTAAAACATATTTTAAGATTTCTGAAAACATAACATCGTACGTCTTCTTTTACTTCTCAATCTCAAATTACATTTTATGACCATTATCCACAGCATCCAAGCTATGTGTTTCAAGTATTCTGAATATGAAATAAAATTCACATTTTTTAAAATAAGAATTCAATTTTAGGTTTTTTATTTCAAACATTTTAAAATAATTTTAAAAGAAATATTAAATTTATTAAAACTAATTAAAATGCGCAAGAGTTACAGTTGAAATTTTAAAAAATAATTGGATTTTTAAAGATTTTATTAAATTTTAGACAATTTTTAAGTTTTATAGAATTAAAAGTAATTTATTAAATTATTTTAGATAAACCTTTTTGAAAATAATAAATTATTAAATTTTTTAACAATTATTGAATTAAAACTATAGATTAAAACAAAAAGTTCTCATTTTACTAGCATTTTATTTAGTTTTCTCAAAATCGACACTTTGTAAAAAAAATGTAAAAAAAGTCGCATCTTATTAAAGTAAGTTGAAAAAAGTCGTATAATCCGAGGCCTGAATGTGTAATTTGTAAATTATATCAAACGATGTTTAGTGCAAATGGCGGGGCCATTTTTAATTTAGTTTTAATACTTTCATTATACTTGAAGCATTCTCAACACATATTTGTATTTTTCATTGTTTGTTATCGTAGTATATTCCATATTTTTGTGCTATTTATTCTGAGGTTTTTGTGAACATTTTTCTCAGGTAATGTTTTATTACAGTGGTGTTTAATTTAAAGGGATATTTGTCTATTGGGGTAGTCGTGCTTTACACATTATACTTTCAACCAATTTGTCAAAGAAGTATTGGGTTAGCGTGGTCTAATAAATTTTAGGACATTAAGGGTATGGGTTTTTCCTTTTTTCCTTGAATAAACAATCTACAACTTGTTATAAAAGATCTTTTTCATCTTTATTATGGGAGTGTTACCTTTGTTCACACTAAATACTGAATTAGTTTGAAATACTTTAATAATTTATTACATTTTAAGAATACTTTTTCGGTCGATGTCCTCATGGGTGGTAACCGTTTCACTCCCTTGAGGGGAAGTGGTATACCGGCCGAACCATACCCCTCCCACATTTTCTGTTTATGACTGAATGAGTTTTTCCAAAATATTATAAAATTTTTAAATATATTTTTTTAACATATTTACATTCCTTGGAATATAACGATTACGAGCATATATTGTTTTAATTAAAAATGTTAATATCTAAAAGTTTTATAATTTTGAAAGAATTTATTAATTTATAATTTGTATATAGGTATATATGATGTATTTCTCGACAAATATGACATCAATTTGCAATTGCATCTACGACTTTTTTAAAACTTATTTTTTTTGAGCACTAATTACGACTATCTTTCATAATTTTGTCAAATTCTTTTTAGCTAGCCATTTATTTACGAGATCATTAAAATGTACGTATTACATTTTTTTTATAAATAATAATTTTTAATATAAAAAAATGCCCATTCAACGAAAATTATAAAAATATTAAATATTAACATTTTTAACTGGAAGAACATATGCTCGTAACCATGAAATTCCGAAGAATTTGAATATGTCAAAAAAAATGTTTAAATGTTAATATTTAAAAATTTTATAATTTTTGTAAAAAACTCATTAAGAGTTATAAAATAGTATCTAAAACGACACTTAGGCCCCCCGCGATGCATACTTCACTCGGGGTACGAGCTTGGTCCCGGCCGGTAGAGTGGAGGTTAGGGTGCCCATGAAAATAAAAAAAAATTTATTTCAAACTTATATGAAATATTTGGGATTAGTAGATTGTTAATTATCAATTAGCTAACATTGCTATAGTTTATAAAAAATCCTCTAATTCAAAATAGTTCATATTTAGGCTCTTTGGATAAGAAATTACGTCAGCTTTTAATTAGTACTCTCTAAATCTGAATTAGTAAAAAATTAACTAATTCATTTAGTAAATTAAATTTCAACTAATGAATTAGTTTTTTTTGGAAGTTTTACTAATAAAATAGTAAAAAATTAGTATTTGAACATTACTAATTTAAAATAGTAATCAAATTAACTAATTTTATTAGTTATTACACCCGAGTTACTAATTGAATTAGTCAGTTGAATGTAACCTCTATTATTTATATGACGTATGTCATCTTCCATGGGTTTTTTTTTAAAATATTTTTTTTTTTTTTTTTAGTATTATGTGAAACTATAGCTTGTAATCTATTCAAAATACTTTGTTTGATGCTTAAAATACTATTTTTGAAAGCATTTATTATTTTTAAATTATTGTTCTGTTTTTTTGAAGTATTATGTGATACTATAGCTTGTACTATGTTCAAAATATTTTGTTTGGTGCTTTAAATATTACTTTTGAAATTATTTATTTTTCAAAAAATTTTTTGATATAAACTAACCGTTAAAATTTTTTTATTAATTTTATTTCACCAAAAGTAACTATGTATGTGTATCTAAACTGTCTTTAAGTAAATTAATAAATTACTATAAAGTAAACATTTTAATAAAATCTTTACTCAAAAAAAATCGGAAATAATATATCAAATGAACCACCAGAACGTAAAAAATTTTATATGAATTTTGCCAATATTATGCAATTTAACCCATGAAAATGAACTTTTAAAAATAAAATATTTTTTATACAATCATGAAGAAACTACATGCGAAAAATTTTATCTTTGAAACTCGACTTTTCAAATTTAAAATTTTAGTATGAATAAGTTGATAAATTTTTATTGATTATTTACGATTTGGCGGTAAAATTGTATAATGACTAATGAATTAGTAAACAATTAGTAGTTTTAACTAATCAATTAGTAATTTGCGCCTCCGGGAGCCGCATTAAAAAGTTACTAATTGAATTAGTTAAACCAAAATAACTATTTGAATTAGTAAGTTTTTACTAATTATTAGTGACTCACTTTTTGCTTTTTGAATTAGTAAGATTCTACTATTAATTAGTTATTTTTAACTAATTCAGATTTAGAGAGTAGCTTCAGAATCACAATAATACTCTTCACTGTAACTGTGCCATAGCGGCATCGAAAAAAGGGGTTTTGGGGGTCGCTGAATACAAAACTTTGGTCGAAAATAAAAAATTCAAAATGGCAGTTTCAAAATAGCGACCAAAAAAATTTTTAAATTAACATTTGTTATTAAGAAAACAAAAAAAAAATTGTTTATATTAACGGTTTTTATAAAAAAAAATTAGCAAATATATCAAATGTACATTCGGGATTAGATGTACATGTTCATTTATGTTTTTTAAATTAAAAACTTTAAATGCTGCGCAGTAGTTTTCTTAAGCCTTTACAGCTGAGCAATAATTTTTAGCATGCATAAGTGAAGAGTCTTAATAATTATAACTTTTTAAAATTTCAAATTTTTCCAAAAACATTTTTAAACAAATGTTCTTGTACAAGAACATAAACGTGTTCATGTAAAAGTACTGATACATGAAACCTGAACAAAAAATATGTATAAGAACATGTACATTTTCTTGTACAAGTATATTTTCTTGTCCAGGATCTTGTACAAGTTCTGGTACAAGAACATGTCTCAATTCCGGATGCTGAACTTGTTCAAGAACATTACTTGAACATGTACAAGAAAATGTACATGTTCATTGATAAACATGTACAAGAACTTGTACATGTCTGAAAATTTCGTTTATTAATAAAATGATTAAATGAAGTTATATGAAATTTGCTCATTTTGATAATAATTTTATTGTAAAATTAGAGTGCAAGACTTATTTTGTTAAGTTTTATATTGTTTAAAATTTAAATCATATAATTTAATTAATTTCTTTTCTGCGCCAAGCAAAGCTTCAAACAAAGTGTTATAAAAAGAAAACTATTGGAACATTCTTTTTTTTAAATTAAAGCTGAGATGTTACAGCAAGTTCTCTATATAATAACTTTTTTAAAAAAGCAAAAATGAGTGAAAATATTGGAACATTCTTTTTTTTAAATTAAAGCTGAGATGTTACAGCAAGTTCTCTATATAATAACTTTTTTAAAAAAGCAAAAATGAGTGAGTTACACAGCAAAGAGTGAAAAGTGAGCCAACACTGCAAAAATATATCTACAATAAGTATCTTACAATAAGATGTAATATGGAAAAATGGTATCTTCCATCTTAAAAAAGATATTTTGTAAAGTATCTTATTAATATTTAAGATGCTTTTTGCGTTTTAACAAGAATTAAAATATTTCTTCCATCTTAAAATGTAAGTTACGTAGATAAGTTTCTATAAGTAACTTGAATTAAGATATGTGTGGAGTCATATGCTGCTTAGAAAATAGATGCTTGTAAATTGTAAGATACGTCAGAATTTGAAGTTACTAAAATATAATATACATTAAGCATCTTACATAAGAGGCCATAGTTAACCTCAAAATTTTTTTCATCAAAAATATATTAAGCACTTTGGCAAAGATACTATTAACATCTTAAACTAAGATATTTCAAATAAATAAAAAGTTACTACCAAAACTTCTTAAAAATGACTAGTAAAACATCTTATATTAAGATACTTCTTTTTGCAGTGAAGTCACCTGATCTCCTCTAGTCGGGGGTTTTCAGGGTCGCAGAATCCGAATTTTTGGTAGAAAATAAAAAATAAAAAATGGCGATAAAAAAATTGAAAATTTTTAGTCAGATAAATTGACTTTTAAATTTTTTAGCCGCTATTTTTAATTTTTAATTTTTTACAGAAAATTCGAATTCAGCGACCTTGAAAACATACAATACGATGTTTTATTTAAAAAAATTTTTTTGAACATTTATGACATGAAAACTTTATTTTCACTGGGCTGTGAAGGGGTTAAAATGTTCTGCGGATATCCCGGGCTGTGAGGATAGCATCGCAGTATAAAAAGTATTACTTATATTACACTTATCACCAATTATTATAGGCTAATACAGAGGTATTATAGAGTATTAGACAATATTACACATAACAAGAAGGTTGTACAGTTAATTGTATATCTAACTTTCAATTTTTCTGCTTATTTCATAAGTATGTACATGTCAAATTTTTATTATGAAAACGCTGCATATTCCAGATACGAAGAAAGAAGCCTTGGAGAAAATGAAAACGGAGAGATTAAAATATCCTCCAATTAGCATAGGCATTCCACCATCATCATCTGAATCTGAGACTGAAAAGTCAAATAAAAGGGACAATTCTGGAAAAAATGTGAAACGTGTCCTCAAAAGTCCGACAGAAGAAATGTCTCAGCTTATTCAGTCGAAAGTTAACAAAATGCAAGGAAAATATATTAACACGAGAAAAGAAACTACGACCAACAATTACACCAAAATTATAAGTAATAATAATTTTAATCCTAATTCTACTGACGATGACGTGGATGACTTTGAGGATGATGATGGTAATGATGATGATGATGATGATGATGATAATGATGATGATGATGATAATGATCATGAAGATAACAATGGCTTTCAAGATGATGATAACTTGGTACAAAATAATGTAAGTTATTATTTTCTATAAATATACGAAGGTTCATTTAGAATCAAATATGTTTCACAATTTTTTTTATTCTTTGAAATTCACAATATTTAATTAATTCTTTATTTATATTTTACAGAAACTAGCGAAAATGATTGCTTTCAAACGAACCAACACTGAAAATTCAACTATGGGAGAAATGAAAAAGGTAAATTTTAAATGTAAAAATTCTTCTACAATAACTTGAATCTATACTTGATGAACTTGAAAATATAAATTTTTCTTTAATTGTGTATTGCAAAAATTAATACTTTTCCTTTAAATAAAAATAGAGAAAATTGTCCTGTTACGAGAATGATGATTACTCAAGTGACATTAGAAGATTAACAGAACAGATGTCTATATTGAAAAAGAAAGTGGAAAAGCAGTATGAAGAAATAGAAGATTTGAAAAATACATTAAAAACAAAAGATGCAGAAATACATGATTTAAATCGCCGAAATGTTGGTCTTCAAAATAAACTACTTTCAAGATTAGATGAATTGGATAGTATGTATTTAATAGTATTTCATATTTAACAAACTACAAATTTTAAAATATTTAATAAAATATTATTTGACAGTCATTATTTGTAGAATTTAAAAAATATTTTGATTTCTTTTACTGAAGTTAATGCTTATTTTTATTATTTGCAGAAAATGTTGAGGATATTGAAATTAGAACTGCCGAAGCTTCTGGAAAGCGAACTTTTGAAAAAGTTGGGGCAATAAAAAAGAACAAGGTACTTAATATTTACGTCGTACTCGAAGAACTCTCTTTCACTTTATAACAAAAAATGTTTCAATTCAATAAAATTAAATTTTTTTACTTATTTTTTATTCCAGGTACATCTAGGCAACAATATTTGGATAGACCAATGTAAATATGATGTAGTGGCACTTTCTTCAAAGTCACCAAAAATTTATATAAATAAATTAGCTGAAGCATGTTTCGGGTTCCAAACGCTTATAAACAGTAGCGTTACTGGAAAGGTGTCTAATAGAACTAGAAAAACTAATTCTATGGCACGTCCACGCCTCGATCCCCAAAAAATATGTGCTATACAAGGTAAGTTACAGTATTTAGGTTAAAGTATGTCAAAGTAAGAAAAAAAAGTAAATGTTACTTTAGTTTTATATTTAACATGTTGAACTTAATTTTTCAGAATCTTTCGAAAATTGGGCTAAACAATGCACACCGCCATACGATAAGGTGTCGATACAAGTTTTTAAAAATGATGTTCCGACTACTATTAGCCAGTATATTACGAAGTTGAGACAACGGCACTGCGAAAGATTTACTAGTGAGTTTTAATTATACATGTATTTACTATGTATTAATATACAGTAAAACCTTAAAGTCCAGTTTTTTAACAGAAATCTTTAACTATTCAAATTTAAATAATTAACACATTTTAATGAAAAGATAAATATATTTTATAGAAGTTCTGATTTCTGCGGAGGAGGACTCTGTAATCAATGACAATCCATTACATATTGAGAACCTTGTAGAGATTGAGGACCAACAAAGCTGTGAGGAAAATGAAGGAGCACCTCATGAATTGGATGACAATTTACTGGTAAAATGTTTTATATTTGTATTATATATAGAGTTAATTAATATATAGTAAAAGATAATAAACATAATATTTTTGTTTATATGTTTTTTCATAAATTTTTGAATAATGATAATTTTTTTAATTCAACAAATCAATTTTTAAGAATATTTCAGTTTTTTCACTATATGAAATTGATTTTAAGTTTTCTTATTTATTTTTTTCATTTTGTGCAGATTAATAATGTTGCAGTAATGAGGGAAAGACCACAAATTTTGTCTATTCAGGAAAAAGTGCTGCAGTTTAATGAAATTTAATTCTAAAAAATAATTTTTATATTAAGATTTATGTACAAATTATTTAATAATAAATAAGTGCAAAAAGTAAATCAATTATGTTTTTCTACAACCTAACATGCAACAGATTTTTAAATTATTTTAATAAATTGTTATTTAATAAATTAAAATTTAAAAGATAAGACATAAAAAAGGAGATGAAAAGATATTGAAATCATCTATCGTTTTTAAGTATCCATTCTGTATCTACAAAAGAAAATACCTATTTATCTCTTTATATCACCTTTTTTCTGTATCTTTCTATCGCTGGATATTCATTTAAAGAGATAAGAAAAGAGATAGAAAAATATAGAAAATAGAATATAGAAAAAAGAAGAAAACGGAATATAAAAAGAGATATAGAAAGAGATATAGAAAGAGATAGAAAATAGGATATAGAAAGATATAGAAAGAGATAAAAAAAGGATATAAAAATAGATATTAAAAGAGATAGAAAATAGGATATAGAAAGATATAGAAAGAGATAGAAAAAAGGATATAAAAAGGGATATAGAAAGAGATAGAAAATAGGATATAAAAGGAGATATAGAAAGAGATAAAAAAAGGATATAAAAATATATATTAAAAGAGATAGAAAATAGGATATAGAAAGATATAGAAAGAGATAGAAAAAAGGATATAAAAAGAGATATAGGAAGAGATAGAAAATAGGATATAAAAGGAGATATAGAAAGAGATAAAAAAAGGATATAAAAATAGATATTAAAAGAGATAGAAAAAAGGATATAGAAAAAGATAAAAAAAGATATAGAAGGATATAGAAAGAGATAGAAAAAAGGATGTAGAAAGATATAGAAGGATATAGAAAGAGATAGAAAAAAGGATGTAGAAAGAGATATAGAAAGAGATATAAAACTTCTATCGCTTTGAAGTATCCATTCTGCATCTCCAAAACATTATTGCTTTTTATCTCTTCCTATTCCTTTTTTTCTATATCTTTCTATCGCTGTATATTCATTTAAAAAGATAAATGGAGCGATAGAAAGAGATAGGAAAAGTCTATCTCTTTTAAGTATCCATTCTGCATCTCCAAAACAATATAACTTTTAATCTCTTCCTATTCCCTTTTTTCTATATCTTTTTATAACTTTACTTCCAGCAGGGTAATTATTCCATTTTATGATTACGCTCTTCTCATGTGATAAAATGTAAAAATATTGTAAGGTTATGTTCATGACAATACCTTTTTAATATATTGTGAAATCAAAATGATAAAAAACTTTTATTATAATGTCAATAAAAAACATAAAAAAAATTTTGTGTTGACAGTTCATCTCATTTATTGTATATTTCTTTATTACTATATTTACATATTACAAATATTAAATTCATTGCATGCCTGTGTATTATTCGGGGAAAAAAATTTTGTTATTTATAAAAGAAAAATTTAATTTAATTTATATTTTTCTTCCCTTTAAAAACAATGAGACGGCGGAAACATCAACAGCAACAACAACAAATAATTTATTAAACTTTACAGCGTGTTTACAGCTTCAAAGGTACATAACCTCAACTATTTCGTGAGCACGAGATCACGCACAATTTTTTTTTTCATTTTCAACTCGGTGACAGTTGGCAACACCATGCGTGCGCAACCAACTCCAACCGACTTGGACTTGGAGTTGCCAAAGGGAGCTATTGTAGAAGCTCCTTGAAGGGTCATTCACAAATATGACAATTCCGTTGGATCCTGTTGCTATCTATTTCGTCAGTGCTTTTCATTTCAAGTATAATTTCATCCGGGCAAGTCCATTTTATGTTTTTGAATAAAAATGAATTTGTTATTTTTTAATTGAAAATACATGTAAAAGATTAGGGTAAATGCACTAATTGCGGCGAGATTCGAGTCAAAACACCTTCGAAATAGAAAATTCGACATTTCTATTGTATAAACTCAATTTAAGACTTATTAAACTTAAAGCTTATGTTATTAAGATATTAAAAAAAAATTTAACTCTATAAAAATCGATTATTTAAACAAATATGAGAAATTAAAACTAATACCGTAATTTTCTATTGCGGCGAGTTTGTATCAGTGTCGGTGTATCAATTTCGGTGACCAAAATTACGTGTATTTTGAAGATACTTTGCCCGCCGAAATTGAAGCCAATGGAAATCTTAAAAATGTTTCAATTGCGGCGCGGAAAAAAATTTGATCTCAAATAATTAAATTAATAATTGTTTAAATGTGCATCTTTATAAGTATTTGTATCAAAAAAAGATTGAAATAATTTTTTTTAATCATTTGGCAACAGTTATATTAAATATAATAGTAATAATAGTTATTTTTTATGAACGCGCCGTAATTGGTGCACTCGCCGTAATTAGTACACTTACCCTACATTTCAGTGTAAACAAATGATATTGACATCTTTATTAATCTTAAATCATGGAGTAATAATAAGGAGACTGCACTGCAATGCTTTCAGCAGTGGAAAGTTAAGCCAAATGTCTGCCTTCGTTCACGGATAGTAATCGCCTTGTAAAATTGTACGCAAGCGCAGTGCGCACGTTCCATCTTCGTCGCTCTTTAAAGAACGATGAGAGAGATAATCTTTGTGTGACAAAGTCTCTTAAATGTCAATAAATAGGGTTATGTTGTAGTGTTGTCAAAAGCAAGTGACATTAATAAAAGAAGTAGAAAATAATAATAAAAAGGACTTCGTAGTAATAAAATTAAGAAAGGAAAAGTAAGTACATTTTATCATGGAATTACAAAAAAATCGTTATAAACGGGGTGATGAGTGAACATTAAAAAGCAGATTGTTTACATGGACACAAATTGATAATTTATGATAACATAATTTTTATTTATTTATTTATTGTAATAAATAATGTGCATATAATGCTAAATTAAATTTATCTTATAAATACTTAATTTTAATAACTGATATGAACTTAAAATAAATGACAATTATTACGAAAATTAGGTTATAAAATGTTTCAAATGAATAACGCGTTTTCTATTTCCCTTCACGAATAACGTGTCTTTATTTATAACATCGGTTTGCATTATTTTTCGAACAATAAGAAAAAAAATTAATATCGCATTCTATTCATAAATTATCAATTTGTGTCCATGTAAACAATCTGCTTTTTAATGTTCACTCATCACCCCGTTTATAACGATTTTTTTGTAATTCCATGATAAAATGTACTTACTTTTCCTTTCTTAATTTTATTACTACGAAGTCCTTTTTATTATTATTTTCTACTTCTTTTATTAATGTCACTTGCTTTTGACAACACTACAACATAACCCTATTTATTGACATTTAAGAGACTTTGTCACACAAAGATTATCTCTCTCATCGTTCTTTAAAGAGCGACGAAGATGGAACGTGCGCACTGCGCTTGCGTACAATTTTACAAGGCGATTACTATCCGTGAACGAAGGCAGACATTTGGCTCACAATCTGAAGCGGAGTGCAGTCTCCTTATTATTACTCCGTGTCTTAAATATTCATAAAAATATACTTTTGATTTTAAAAAATAAAATCCTCTTCATGTATTTTAAATTAAAAAATGACAACTAACTAAAAAATCTTATTTTTATTCTAAACTAAGAAAAAACTTCCGCTTAATTCTTAGTGGAATCCTTAGTTTATTAATATGTGTATTTACGTTTGGAATGAGTATTTATGTGTGAACTATAAAAAGTTTGTTCGATGACATTTACTAATATGCTAATATCTTATAAAATTCATTTCTTCTTCTTCACATGAAATTGAAATGAAAAGCACTGACGAAATAGACGGCAACAGGATCCAACGGAATTGTCGTATTTGTGAATGACCCTTCAAAAAATCCACTTTCCACAAGTGGCACGAACTAACGAACTTGCCACAAGTTGGACGGACTTCGTGCCACACAAAACTGAATGATCAGGAATATACGGAAGCCTGTACGGCTCACGAGCGTCTCGGACGCAAGTGGCACGAAGTCCGTCCAACTTGTGGCAAGTTCGTTAGTTCGTGCCACTTGTGGAAAGTGGATTTTTTGAAGGGTCATTCACAAATATGACAATTCCGTTGAATCATGTTGCTATCTATTTCGTCAGTGCTTTTCATTTCAATTTCATGTGAAGAAGAAGAAATGAATTTTATAAGATATTAGTAATATTAGCATATTAGTAAATGTCATAGAACAAACTTTTTATAGTTCACACATAAACTAAGGATAGTTATTCATATTAATAAACTAAGGATTCCACTAAGAATTAAGCGGAAGTTTTTTCTTAGTTTTTAAAATTTTTCTTAGTTTAGAATAAAAATAAGATTTTTTAGTTAGTTGTCATTTTTTAATTTAAAATACATGAAGAGGATTTTATTTTTTAAAATCAAAAGTATATTTTTATGAATATTTAAGATTAATAAAGATGTCAATATCATTTGTTCACACTGAAATGTAATCTTTTACAAGTATTTTCAATTAAAAAATAACAAATTCATTTTTATTCAAAGACATTAAACGTACTTGCCGGGATGAAATTATACTTGAAATGAAAAGCACTGACGAAATAGACGGCAACAGGCTCCAACGGAATTGTCATATTTGTGAATGACCCTTCAAAAAAATCCACTTTCCACAAGTGGCACGGAGTCTGTCCAACAAGTGGCACGAACTAACGAACTTGCCACAAGTTGGACGGACTTCGTGCCACTTGCGTCCGAGACGCTTGTGAGCCGTACAGGCTTCCGTAGGAATATGATTTATTTTATAGATGGAGCAGTGTAGGAACAACAAAAGGTTGGTTTAAAGGTGTTTTCACAACACAATTAGTACAAACATTTTAAATAGTTCACTTATTAAGAATGTTAATTGTTTATACCAATTCTTTAACTTCACTACAGTTTTATTAATTGAGTCCGAATCTCATTAAAATCCTAAAGTATTAAATTATTGAGAGGAATTAAATATAAAAACAAAACACAATTAAATTTCATATAAAATCACTAATTGTTGTATTCAGTAATTAACTGAATCTGAGTTCTATTAAATTAAATCTTTCTAAGATTCTCTCAAGACATTT